GCCTTCTGAGAATTCAGAAAAATGCAACCGTTGGAAGAGCCGCTTCCCAAAGACTTTAAGTTGAAAGTTCAGTTGCACGTTTATACAATCAAGAAACGTGTGTCCAGACTATTTATATTCATCCTTTAGGTTCTGAATGGCAGCAAATAGGGGAAATAGAAATCAGATAGCTACCAGCAACATTTAATAAAGGAAATTCAAAACTGATTGTGCAAATGTGGAATTGGTGTTTGCTCTGCCGGAGTGAAATGTTGCATTTTTACTAGGACTCAACTTTGAAGCTTTACCTTCTACTTTGGCTGGGCTATAAATCTATTAAGGGTGTAGGAAAAATCTATTTGGTGATATATCGTGATTTTCGGCGGCCCTATATAATATCGATCTTTCAGTTCCTAATAACAATTAAAACATTTTTTTTTAACCTAGAACAAAGACGGGCTACCGCTGCACCGCCACTCTGCTAGATGGCGCTGTGGAGCCCTTTTGCTGTGCACTTGCTTTTTTTATTTATAAGTTTCATTTTGATAGCTGGGTAAAATATCGCAGTATGTAGTAATATTGCAATATCGTCATAATATATCATGACCCATGTATCATGTAACACACATGCCAATACTCACCCCTAAAATCAATGTCAGTATATATTATGATAAATGTCAAACTCAGAACATCATGTTTGTCTCTGGGGCGTAAGAAGAGGAAAGGATACAAGCAATGTTTGTAGGAGGGTTGATCCATTAATAAGGGTTAAAGGTTATGTTCAAATAGGGTTAGGATCACATTTTAACTTTGGTCTTTATTTAAAACAGCTAAAAAAACACTTATTAATAATTATTGTTATATTTTTTTTTTCCAAAAAAGCAAAAAAAAAACAATCCACTGGACTTTGTTTCCAAGTTTGAAGACGTTTTGCTTCCCATCCAGGAAGCTTTTTCAATTCAAAATGTCAGGAATAGAGTTAAGTTCTAAGCTTTATACAGTAGCCCAACAAAGCCTTGTTTTTGTTTAGAAAACATGCAAATTGAAACGGATGACCAGGTCCATCCCTCTGGAATGGGGGTCGTTAGCCTGACAATCAGGTCAGAATAAGGAAAATACTGGTAATAGTTAGGGTTGGGGGTAAAGATCAGGGTTAGGCATAAAACCAATTATAAAAAAGGAATATAAGCCAAAGTAAAGTCTTGATGTTGCTAAAAATACAAATGCTATACTATATATTTTACTAATCTAATACGTTTAAAGTTAAAACTGTTTGTTTCATTTGTAAAATAATCTTTCATCAATTTAATAACCTGCTAACGAGATACAGGCTGAATTAGCAATCTGCTGTAATGTGCTCTGTATCAAATATTAAACCCTTTTTAAATAAAGCTTAAACCTATATAGTCAAACAAAAAAAAATGGCAGACCTACAAAATTGCTCTTT